TATATGGTCTATTTTAGACAGTGTTCCATGTGCAGCTGAGAGGAATGTATATTCTGATGTTGTTGGGTGGAACACTTTGTACATGTCTACTGAGTTTGTTTTTTCCCAAATTGAATTCAGTTCTCTTTATTTCCTTGTTGATTATGTTGTCTAGTTTATATTTCTCTCTTGTGTCAGTGGGATGTTAAGTCTCCCATTATAATTGTGTTATTGCTTATTTGATTTTTCATCTCTATTAATATTTGTTTTACATAGCTGGGTGCCCCCATATTTGGTGCATATATATTTAAGATTATTATCTCTTCTTCTTGAAGTTCTTCCTTCACTAGTATGTAGTGACCATTTATATCTCTTTTGATCATTCTTCCTTTGAAGTTCACATTGTCTGCAAACAGAGTAGCCATCCCTGCTTTTTTTGAGTTCCTGTTACAAAAAGTATTGTTTTCCACCCTTTGGCTTTCAGTCTATGAATTTCCTTTATGGTAAAATGGGTTTCTTGTATATAGCATATGGTTAGATGTTGATCCATTGTGCCAGTCTGTTTCTTTTAATTGGTGAATAAAGGCCATTTACATTAATGGATATAACTTATATATATTGGCTTATTTTTATCATGTTATCTTTCTGCTGTTGTGTCTTTATCTTTCCCCTTTGTTTGATTATTTGCCTTGCTTAGTGGTTTTATTTTCTGTTGATGTTCCTGAAGTCATAATTATTTTTATGTCTATCTAGAATATCTTTAAGTATTTTTTGCAGCATTGGTTTGGTGGTCATGAAGTTCTTCAGCTGTTCTTTTTTGTGGAAGTATCTTATTTCTCCATCAGTTTTGAAGGACAATTTTGCAGGGTCCTGGGTTGGAAGTTGTTTTCCTTTAGAATTTGAAAGATACTCCACGCTTTTCTTGACTTTATTATTTTTATTGAGAATCTGTTGTTATTCTGATGGGCTTTCTTTTATAGGTGATCTGTCTCTTCTCTCTAACAGCTTTTAATATTGTGTTCTTATGTTGAATTTCTGGGATATTGACTATTATATGTCTGAGTGTAGATTTATTTTGGTTTTAGCTAATTGGACTTTTATATTCTTCATTTATCTGTATGTCAGTTTCCTTTGCCATGTTTGTGACTATTTACTTTTATAAATAGTCTTTGATATCATTTGTTTTGTCACCTTCTCTTTGATTTACATTTATGAATCTTACATTGTTTTTCTTTGCATCATCTTTCAACTGTTGAATTATTTCCTGATTCCTTGTTATTTTTAAGAGATCTTTCCTGTTCACTAGCTGCAATCTTGTCTTCGAGGTCTGAAAGTCTATCTTCACTTTCATTGAGGTGGTTTTTCAAGCTTTCATTGGAATTTTTTATTTCCTGGATATGTCTTTGAATCTGTTTCATGTAATCCGTTTCTTTCTTACATTGTTCACTGAAAGTTTCCAGCTTTTTAGAGTGCTCCTCAATTTTGTTAACTATGTCTTCTTTATATGTGTTCCACATTTCTTATCATTTCTTGTTTCTTGTTTTTGTTATCTTGAAATAATCTGGGAGATTATTTCAGATCTGAGTTCCTTTACAGCTTCATTGGTAGTTTCTTTACTTCAGTTGCTATCATTTCAGAGGTTTCAGGTGTATGGCTTACATTTTCTTTTATTTTGATGTCTCCTAGACTTGTTTGGGATGGGCTGGAGGTTGGAGATTGCATTTTGCTCTTTTCTTTTGTCATTTTCCTGTATTCCCCTGGAGAAGCTGAATGCAAGTTCTCAGTTGATTCCTTGGTTGAAGATATCTGTAAGTACTGCAGGGAGATTCCACAGTTCAGTGGAGGTTGTTAGTCTGGCCTTACCACATCCCTAGTGGAACTCAAAGTCTCCTGAAATATGGGAAGTACACTGAGTCGGCCTTCAGCACACCTGCATGTTACTGTGAAGCACTCCTTCAACTTGAGGTTGCTCAGTGGGTTACTACCTGGTTCTGAGTGGGGTACGGAGGCTGAGCAGCTAGATAGAGTACACTATTCCGACCTTCACCTCATTCCACATGGCATACAAAGGTCTGCAGCTGCTTGAGATTGCTGGGCAGGGCCTTACCAGGTTGCAAGCGAGGTGCCGAGGTTGCACTGCTTAATAGGATTCATTGTGTAGGCTTTCAGCTCATGCCACAAGACCAAGTGGTTCCCCAGCCACTCAAGGTCTCTGGACGGGACCCTGGCCAGGCCCCTAGGGGCCTACCCGAAGGTTTACAGCTAACTGGGGCACTGGCCAGGACATTACCATGTTCCAAGCAAGGTGCCAAGGTTTCACGGCTGGATGGGGTTCACTGCACAGGCCTTCAGCTCACGCCACTCTGATCTCTTGATTCTGACTCCTATTACTTAGTAAAAGAATTTCCTATTGACATACATTAAGAGTTTTTACTAGATGTAAAGCCAGAGATCCGAAAAGCAAAAATTCCAAAGTGTGTATCACCACTGTATAAACACTTTCAGTTTAATAAAAGTCTACTTTATGAAAGTATGGCAAGAGAAGAGCATATGTTGGTCACACATTGCTAATTATTATATTTATTTTTGAGACTAGCTTAGAAAGAGTCAGGGCTGTGTGTGTGGCATATGCCTATAATCCCAGCACTCAAGAAGCTGAGGCAATTATGAATTAGAAAATTATGAGTTAGAGTCCAGCCTGGACAATTTAGTGGGACACTGTCTCAAAATTTTAAAATGAATATAAAGAGCTAGGGTATAATTCAGTGCTTTGAGAACCTCAACTTTGCTACCTACTATGGAGGGAAAAAGCAAGGATTTAATATTCTCCTTGACATTTCATCATTATACATTACAATGATAGTTGTTATTTCTCTAACCTTTGTGATGTACCATAAACACTCTAAGTTCTGGACATGTATTATTTCATGTAATCCTCCTAGGAAACATGGGAGATAGATCATAGGACCAGCCCTATTTTACACCTATAAAGTGAAAAGAGGCAAAGTTCAACTGAGATGAATGGTCATGGGTTTTCCTTCTTCTCTTTTCACCCTTGGTTGCAGTCTGGCATCTTCTGGCCATGCATTTTCCTACCTCCAGACTAGTTATTTGAAAACCACAAGCTTCACCTTCCCATCTAGGCTCCAGGTCCTCGCAGAGCTTCTGGCTCAGGCAAGACCTCCATGGATCCACTCCAGAAATGGAATCCAGGGTTGATTTCTGGATCTTCCCAGATGGCCACTGCAGAGACCTCCCAGGAGGACACGACAGCCTCTCAGTCTTCCTCCACAGGACAGCTAATGATAGACCTCAGTAGTCTGAGCATCAGTCCTGGCTCCAACCTTTCTGCACCTCTGAGACAGGGACTTTTCCAGTCACAGTACAAGGAAGAGAAGACTCTGCCGGAGCAGCACTGGGAAAGGCTGGGGTTCCCTCAGAGGAAGAAAGCATTCCTGGGACACCTGAGACGCAGGCACCGTGACCACATGGCACCTTACCCAGTCGAAAGGGAAACCAGGCTCTCTTTCCCGGGCAATAGAGCTCAGAATCAATTCAGATGTCATTGTCGATACTGCCAAGCCCACACGCCAAGTAGTTCTGGGGTCACTGGGGAGAAGAATGGGACCCTCAATCCCTCCTCCTGGGAAACCCTCGTGCAGGGTCTCAGTGGCTTGACCCTTAGCCTGGGCACCACCCAGCCTGGCCTTCAGCCAGATGGGGTGCAGCAGCAGAAGCCAGAGGAAAAGCACCAACTGGAGAGGCAGCAGGAAAGCATGTTCCAGAGGCTGCTCAAGCAGTGGTTGGAAGAGAACTGAGATGCTCATTCTCCAGGGACAAAGCCTCTTAGGGATTCAGACCGCACCGTGTTGCAAGCTTTTGGGGGTTGGGACTCTTCGGATACCAAGCAGTCGCTCTCAGAAAAGGAGTCCCAAGACCTGTGTCTTCATCTTTCCTGCCTGTCAGTTGTGGAACGCTGAGAGGCATTTGGGGGCAGAGGAGACTGCACACCAGTGTTCCCCACGTCCTTTCATCTGGTTCCCATGCTGCATGTTGTCAGTTTCCCAGCCTGGATCTCCATCTTTGCTCCTTAACTTGTCAGGAAGATGTAAGATGTCTGTGTAGTGTGAATGCCTCATCGATGTCCGTGTGCTTTTGTACCATTTTACTGATCGCCACCCAGGAACAGAGCTGGGTCTGCTTGAAATGGCAGTGCTTGATTCTGAGATCCAGGTGCAAACATCTGCTGCCAAACAAAGTGTGGGAAAGGGATGTGGAATTAGAATTTGATGCTTCAGCATTGTGCTGTGAGTGTAAAGTATTATGACTGTGATAAGCTGACTGTATGTGTTTCCCTGCTCCTTAGCAATCGGGCAATATTCTCCTGTGCAAGACTTTGCCTAGGCACCTCATCGCTAATACCAAATAAACATACATATGAAAGGAAAGTAACACTAGAATGTAGGTTTGTCTATCAATAATGGTTTCTCTTTGAATCTCAGATCACTACCTTGAAATCCCCAACCAGCAGAGCAGAGTATATCCAGAGGAGCTCTGCACCATGGAGATTCAGAAGAGGGCAAAGGGGCAGGCACAGAACAGTCCAGCCACTATTTGAGGTGCCACAGTGGGACCAGCATTTACACCAGCCAGGCAGTGAGGTTGGAAGAAAATCCTCTGGTACATAAGGGTGCAAAAGAGGCCACTGTCCCAGAAGGAGCCTCCGCATATTGGCACTGGTTCCCTGGATGAGGTTTCCAAGAGCCTTCCCTTGTTGCCTGGTATACTTGGTTAGTGAATGTGAGCTGAAGTTTTGTGCCTGTTTCCTGAGAACCATAGTAGTATTGGATTATTTCAAAATCCTACTGGAATTTAGATGTGTCCTTTAATTTCAAGAAGACAATGATTAAATTTATCTTCTTTTCCCCATCTTTTGTCCTGTGATGTGCACTGACCCAGTCAGAAACCTGAGGTTCTTCTGAGACAAAAACAAATTCTGCATTATGTCACTCTCTTTTTAGGGAGGCTCCAGAACTGCTGTAAAATTCTATGTCTTCTGGTAGAAGTGACTTGAGAGCAGGTAAGTTTCTTAAATCAGAACTTAGAATCTCATTAGAGAACATGAGAGTTAAGATGACTCTGCCAGGGTTGTTTCTCAGCTTCTGGGAACCAGTTATATAAAGAGCAGCTTTTATTTCTTAATACTCAGAGGCCTAAAATCAGAACAGTGATTTGGAAATGTGTAGAAGGTTAGCATAACAGTGCACTTTGGGGATGTTTACTCAGTGTTAGACTCTCTTCTCTTAGTCTCTGTAGATTCACTCATTTCATCCTCTCCCACAGACCCATCATTTAGCAACAATGCCAGTTCCTCGTTAGGAAATGTGCCAAAGTCACACAGGCTGTAATACACTGAACCACCATAGGAGCCTAGCACAACTAACCCTTTCTATGTGAGAGCTGCATATTTTATCCTTTTAAAGGACCAAGTCTTGCTAAGACGTGATGTTGAATCCTCACCATTACACAATGAAGTGCAAGTAAGTACTCCTGCTTTACTTAGGAGGATGTGAAGTACTGGCCAGAGAAACAACCTTTTGCCTGACTCCCCATACACTAAGCCACACCCTGTATACCTTCTAGGCCAGTCTATTGGCCAAAAAGTTTCATAGTACCAGTGACAGTCAAGCATTGAAGCAAGCACCAGGGTTTTCTCACTTGACCATTCTCCATTCTATGCTATGCCGAGACAGGAAAATAAGGAAGAATTGCAGAGCTGGTCCTAGCGCCCCAGTATTGGGTATTACATTGATTGAACATTGTCTTAGTCTATTATCCTGCTATGTCAGAATACCACACACTGGGGAGTTTATACACAAAACAAGTTTTCTTCTATAATTCTGGAGGTAGAGAAGGCCAAAATGAAGGTACTGGCATCTGATGTCTTTTGAGGGCCTTCTTTCTTACTGTGTCCTCACATGGTGGAAGGTCAAATGGCCTAGCGGGGTGCAAATATTGTTCTTACATTTCAGCAGAGCCAAACTCACTCCCCCAAATCTTCTTAGCTCTATTTATACAGTATCCTCCTGACATAAATACCTCCCATTAAGCCTAACTTCCTAACACTGTAGCCTTGGTGATCAACATTTATCGTGACTCCTGGAAGTTTCAAGCCTTGGTATATACCATGATGTATTTATAATACAGCAGTTGAGGCCCTATGTGGCATGGATTGCCAGGACATTAGAGGGGAGAAAAGTTGCATAATGTAGGCATGGAGGGCTTGCTGAAGTATTCTTGCAGAGTGAATCAAGGCAGAGATTGTGTGAGTAATGCCAGAGGACATAAGGGAAGGAGATGGCCGCACACTATATCTCCATCTTCAAGTCTTGGTATGTATTCCCATGTCTGGCACTATAGGAAATGAGCTGAGGGTGATATCTGAAGTGATATCAAGCTACTAACTAGGACTTAGAATCTGGTGATATGTAATCATATCCAACATGTCCAGTTCTAGACCAGGCACACTGCACTAGCAGACAAGAAAATATTTTGGCAGAGCAGGGTAAAAATGGAATGCACTAGCAGAAAATCTGATCAGTTTTAAAGCCTAAAAGGAAATGGAAATAGGAAATAAAGACTTTACTTCAACTGAGAGGTCAGGCCCAGATGTCTGCATGAGTGAATTGTATCTTACATTTAAAGAAAAATAATACCAATCCTTTAAGACTAGTCCAGAATATGGAAGGGAAGAATATTTCCCAATTCATTCTACCAAAAGAACATTATTCTGTTAATAAACACAGACAAGGACAACACAAGTATATTACATACCAACATGGATCATGAATATGTATACAATAGTGCTTAAGAAAATATTGACAAAATCCAGCAACATAGTTTCCCCATAGGAATATACAGTTGTTTAACACTCAAATTTCAGTTAAGGTAATACACCCTGTTACTCTAATAAGGGACAAAGTCATATGATCAGCTCAACAGAGAAAACATATTTGAGACAATCTGAAACATAAACTGGAGGAAGCAAGGAAAATCCTCACCCTATAAAAAGCATCAACAACTAACCTAAAGGTGTTATAATATACTCAGACAATATATTGAAAGAATAAATACTTTTCCCAAGAGAACAAGGCAGGGATGTCTGCCCTCACTGTAGACAAAAAATAAAAGGGTATGGAAAATACATGTTCTTCACAGACAAGCTAAGGGTTTCACTCCTCAAAATTAAGGTTAAAATTTAATCCTCATTCTGAGATCAGGAAACATGGGAGCAGAGAAACTTTTAAAAGGAGATTAGTACTCTGCCCATCTTAATGGATTAGTTTAGATCAATGGATTAACCAATCAGTAGGTTCATCTGGATAGTGGGTCTCCTAAAAACAAAACAGTTTAGCTGGGTGTGGTGGTGCATACCTATAATTCCAGTACTCAAAAGGCCGAGGCAAGAGGATCACTGAGTTTGAGGCCAGCCTGAACTGCATAGTGAAACTGTCTCAAAAAGACAAAAAAAAAATAAAACCAGTTTAGCTAGAGCTCTATCATGTTCCTTGTTTCCTTGCCACATGATGCCCTGCTCTATCTGGACACTCTTTGACTAAGAAGACAATCACCAGATACCAAAATAAACCGCATTCCTATCTATATACCTTACCAGTTTGGGACATTGTGTTGTGAACAACAGAAAAGAGATTAAGCCAATGGAATTTTAGATATTCATGGCTCATGCTTCTTGATGACCCCAAAGTGAAAACAATGTCTACCTACTGGTGAAGGGATAAAGGAAAGATACATCCATATGGTAGAGCATGACTAAATATGGTGAAGGGACAAAATATTAATACATGCTGCAGAATGTTTGAACCTCAAAAAACTTGAAAAAGATGGCAGATAGATAAGCAGTAGAATACTGAGGCTGCCTGAGACAGCCAACTCAAATGCCAGAATAAAATATCATGTGGAAGTCTGGACAGAGGCAGATACATCCTTTTGACCCAGGAAGAAACTAAAGGGAAAAGAACTAGTCAAACATGCAGTCCCAGGGCTACCATTGGAGCAGCTAAGATTAGTGGCAACAGTGCTCTCGCCAGAGTACCTGAATTTGTGCAGCTGCAACTCGCCACGCTGCCTGAATTCTGAATTCCTGCCCCTGCAACTGAGCCACCCAAACTCCCCACCGATGCCACCAAGCTGCCTGAACTCCCACTGCTGCGAGTCACTGGAACTGCAGTTGTGCTGAAGTCAGAGGTTGGTGAGCCCAACAGAGAACGGCCGGCAAGGGACCTGCATTGACCCGTGGTGAATGCTGGGAATAAGACCCTCCCATGGGAAAGGAGTGACCAACTGGACAACATGTTGGAATCAGGCAGAATGGGCAAGAGCAAGGAACAGCAGTGACTTTAGTCAGTTAACTGTTCCCTTCCCAGACCAGATTGGTGAGATATACTTGGCCAGGGTCATGCCTCTGGCCAGGACCCAATAGGTCATCTCAAACCAATTCTGTACGTGCAGTGCACACTAACTCAGTGAAGGCCCCTTCAGGTTGACTGACCTGGAGGGGAGGGGACAGCATATGCCACCCCTGTTTACACCTCAGTGACCAACAGCAAACTGAAGAGGGCAGAAATCTGTAGCCAGTGTGCTTCAGAAGAACCATAACCAACAAGGAATGGGGCTGGGACCTCCTCTATACACCTGTTTGGAAGAAACCAAAAACATGACAAAGAAATAAAGTCCTCAGCCCCCAGCCCTGTGACCATTGATCCAGGAGAGGTAAATATAAAAGAGATTGAGGGCAGCAAACATGCAGTGTCAGACATGGCATCAGTGGACTTCATAGACAAGCTCAAAAGTGAAATATTTAATCAATTAAGGAAGATATAAGTAGATTAATAAAAGAAATGCTAAGCACCTCTGAAGAAGAGACAGAATAATGGAAGAACACAAAAAAGAGAAATGTTTGATGAAGAATATAAAGAAAACCTAAAATACATGAAGCAGGTTCAAAGAGATTACCAGGAAATTAAAAACCCCATTGAAAACTGGCAAAACTGCTTGATAGAAACTAGGATAGACTATCAAAATTTGAAGACAGGTATGCAGTGTGTGATCATGAAAGATTTCTTAAAAATAACAAGGAAATAGTAACAGTCCAAAGGCTAGAAGATGATAAAAGGATCTATAACTTAAGAATAAAGAATGTGAATGAAGAAGCAGGAGTAAAATAAAGGAAATGCAAAGGGTATTCACAGAAATAATTAAGAAAAACTTCCCAAGCACAGGATATTCAGATGTATGAGGCATATAGAACTCCAGCCACCTACAACCAAAACAGAGCCATACCAAGACATACAATAATCAAGATCCCAGAAATTCAATATAAGAACAGAATATTAAAAGCTTCCAGAGAAAAGAAACAGATTGCCTATAAAGGAAAAGCCATCAAAATCACGGCACACTTCTCAACACAGACCATCAAATCAAGAAGAGCTTGGAGTAAAGTATTCCAAGCCCTGAAAGAAAATAACCTCTAGCCCAGATTGATGTACCCTGAAAAACTGTCTCTAGAAATTAATGGAGGGGGGCTGGGGATTTAGCTCAGTGACATAAGCGCGTGACTTGCAAGCAGGCAGTCGTGAGTTCAATCCCCGGTACCGATAAAAAGGAAAAAGACAAAAAAAAAAAATTAATGGAGAAACAAAATGCTTCCAAGACAAAGAGGAACTGGGGGAATCCGTGCTCACCAATCCAACCCTACAGAGATACTGAAAGACATTCGAGAGAGAGAAAAAAAGTACCAAGATTTCAGGAACAGTGGCAGAGGCCTCAATGAATAGGGCAGGAAATGGAATGCAGGAGAAAAGCAGACAACTAATGGCAGAAAAATAGCACAGCAGAAATGAGGCAGAGAAGGTTGGCTATAATCTAATATAGATGGCCTTGATACACTAAAAGAAAAGCACAGGCAGAGTAGATCAGGAGGTAGGGTCCACCGAGATGCTCTATATAGGAAATATAATTAACCTGAAAAAGGGTTTACAGAACAAAAATCAAATATGAGAAAACAATGCTCTGTGTGATGGAACCAGAAAGTAATTTGGGCAGGGGCAACTCAACCAGCACCTGTAGAAACATTGGAAAGACAATTTTTGTAGGTAAAGGAATACAACTTGAGATCAAGTCCAGGAGGGAGAAGGTTCAAAACCACTTAGGTAAATAGTAGGTTGCCCCGTCAATCTAAAAAGTGAGGGACTTGTTGTGACCCAAAGATGCACAGTGAACCCTGTGGGAGTGAAAGGCGAGAAATACTCTAAAAAAAAAAGAAGGCAGAGGATATTGTTAATAGTGTATCAGGATTTAAAATCCACATTACGGAGCTGGGGATTTAGCTCAGCGGCATGAGCACCTGCCTTGCAACCAGGCAGTCGTGAGTTCGATCCCCGGTACCGATAAAAAAGAAAAAGACAAAAAATAAAATAAAATAAAATAAAATAAAAAATAAGACCCACATTACTCACACTGCTCTGTTTAGATAGATTATATTCTGTCCCTATTTGTCCACTTGCACTAAATCTGAGGGCACAGACAGGTGTCCCAAAAATAGCAGGATACAGTATGGTAATCATCCTTAATTTCCTGTTAGCTTAAGCTGAAGCCCTATGTAACATATACTGTTTTACCATGACTGATCTTGGTTGAATCTGGTGTTTGTTAGATTGCTGTTTATTCAAATCCATTATGACTGATAGTATCAAGTCTGAGAGTATAGGCAACTACACTGAAGATGACAAGATTCACTAGGATACCCATTCTGGTTTGATTATTACCTGCTTTTGAAGTTTTACACTATCTACAATGTCTTGTTTTTATTAATATTGTTCTGTACTGCTATATACAATTATACTATGCCTTGATGATATAGACAATTCTATTGAAGATAACAAGAGACAACACAGTAACCATTGTAGAACACCTTGTAATGTGGTTTTATATGACTTTTACATTTCATGTTTTTATAGGAATGTTTTGTTTTGTCTTGATTTGTTTTGTTTCTCTCTCTAATATAGAAAGGATAAAAATACAGGTAGAGACTCATGCATGTGTAGAACCTATAAACAGTTTATGAGAACTGATCATATATCATGTAATGAAATGAACAACTACTCTGAATTAAAAGAGACACTGCAGTACCTAATGCTCATCCCATAATGTCATGATGTGAAATCCAGCAACACTATTATTCTCTGTTCAGAGTGATTTTAGCCTGTTTTGTTTTGTTTAATCTTAACATACATGAAGGTATGGATAACAACATGTATGTTTAAGTGTATAGGATTGATAACCATATTACTAAGTTTTTGTTTGCTAGTTGAGCAGAACTGTTTGCAGTCTTGCTGTTTGAATCCCCACTTTGTATGATTCACTTTTGTAACTTAACAACTATTTGTAAGAGGACAATATGTAATCATCAACTAGTGATTTCTTACTGTTTTTTTGAAATTGTGTATTATTTCTACCCTTTTTCTATTTTTTCTTTCTTTCTTTAAATAAAAAAAAAAAACTTTGCCAGTGTGACAGAGCAGTCACAAAAGACCATTTATTGCATATGCAGGTTTATAGGAAGTGCCCAGAAAGGCAGTTCCACAGAGACAGCATGGAAATTAGGAGCCGCTTGGACATGGCCGCAGACATCACTTCGACCTAGGATCTCACATGCAGGTGCAGAACATGCCAGTCATTCCAGCTCATCCAGGTCCTTCCCCCCCAAAGGCTTACATCCTCTGGCTTTTGCTTTGGTTCTCAGTGTAGGCCAGACCATTCTCTGGGCCTACTATGCCTGGTTCTAGTAAATTCTGGAGGTGCAGTCCTTCATTAGGCTTATATCCCACAGCCTTTCTGTCCAGAGCTCTGGCAAAAAAACGTGGTGGAAAAGATGGATTTTTCTCTAATGATGCTAGTTTCTGTGGTAGCCAGATACCAATGTTGCACCTACCAGTGACTCTGTGCACCTGTAACTGTGTCCTTCCTGTTAGAAAAAAAAAAAAAAACATGGAGCTTTCTTCCACTGAAGAGACCTTGGTCTTCCTTTTCTCAGACTAGAAAAAACTAGGAGAAAAAATTCTGAAAGTGCTTTTGGGGGATTAGTTGCTAAAACTCACAACCTTAGATATACTCTGTGATTCTTTTGAGTAGCATTTCTCCTCCGCCTGCCTAGGCAAATTAGCAACTTATATTCTACTTTTCTGGAAGGTCTGTCATTCCTTACTCCACTTGCCCTATTCCTGGAATTTATGAGCTTTTCTTGCCATGTTGTCTCATTATAGATGTAATTGAAATGAAACTTTCTCAAGCAATGAACTATAATTATTCATGTCCACAATCCTATCGCCCAGCAGTAACCATTACTCTTATATGTTGTGATAATTTCCTTGGAAGAGTTTTCATCTATAAAAATGAATTGTAGAACTCAGAAAGTATAAATAAAGTAAAAGTTAGATCATGGGAAACAGGGAGACTGCAAATGGGAAAGGGACTAGAGATGAAAGAAAGTGGATGAAGAGGAAAAGGGGAAAAGAACTAAGACACATTATGTACATGTAGCAAAATCTCCACAATGAATGTAATCATGTAATGTTTATATGTACAAATACATTTTTAAATGCATTGCATATTACTATCTATGAAGTCACCATTCCTTTTACATCTTTTTAAAAACTCATTTATTGAATTATAATGCAGAATCCCACTAATATGAATAGTAAACACATGTTAATAACACTGAAAATCTAACATGAATTCCTATGCCTCAAAAGCATTTTTAAAAGAAGCAAAAATTTTACAAGTGAGAAAAAAATTATTTACTATTAAACATGGAAAAGAGACATTGCCCTGGAATCCTTATGTAAAAGAAAATAACATAAATTTTTCCCAATGGAGAGGAGTCATCTTTAATTTGCTTTGTGTTTATACAACATTGTTTGTTCAGGACACAAAATATCCCGTACTTATTATCTTTTTAGCCACGCCAAAAATTCTATCAGATGGTTCCCTTCTGCGTCAAAAATTCTATCACCTATAATATTTCTGTCTAACTCAGTTGCCTGTAAAAATGTTAAGAAAATCAGACATACCACCTACAAATCACATGGTTTCTCTTCTGAGAAACTCAAAATATACATAAGGAGCAAAGAAAATATAATAGGAAATCAGGGTTTGCAAATGGGAGGTCTATGAAGTGGAAGGGAACAAAAGGAAGAGGAAGGGGATAAAAAAGGATTACATTGTCTTTCATACTTGTACCCATTCTCTTTCATACTTGTATCCATTGCCCAGGACGAAAGTATTTACGATGTAATGCAAACATGTATTAATAAAAACTAAAAATTGAAGAAAAAATAAAAGCTCAGAGGAGGTGGAGAAAGGAGACGGGACCTTTTTGAGAATGAGACACACTGCTGAGGAGCCTAGGCAGCCTCTCCCTTGAAATTCCCACTGAAAAAACAAAGGGTTTCCACAGATGGTGATTTTTAGCAAGCAACTTCTCCAGGGAATGGCACCAAAATTCTAACCATTGGCTTGTAAAGACAATGAAACTGGGAACAAAGAAAGGTATGTTAATCTGAAAACTTTCTTGCCATTTTTTTAAAATACGGAAGGCGGGTAAAAGACACGCCGCTCTCCGGTGCAGAGCCACAGTGCCCTCTAGTGGCCAGAGAAACTGATTGTCTGCTTCATGGTAGTAAAACGCATGTCTTTCCCAATTTGCGTGGCAAAAAACCAGGAGATGAGATACAGGGTATCCACGGAGAAAGAAAGGAAGATCTCCAGAGTGCATTAAAACCAAAAGTGGGCCAGTTGAAGGCTCCTTAAGAAAGCCTCCCTCTGCCCGCCCTGGTAACCATAGCAACCTCAGCAAGAAGTTACTGCGTTCCCTGGAGGCCCAGCATTGAGTTGTTGTAGGCATGCGCGAGGCAGCCCCAGGAGGTCCTGGCAGAGTTCTCAATTTTAGTATGCTTACTGGACCAGTAATGCCTAGTACCAGCTAATTCCCTGTCCTGTTCCCACCCACCCCAGCTTTTAAACAGGCCTCTTACTTGGCACCCTCACTTTCTTCCTCTTAGCCCTGGCCGCTAGCATCCTTCCTGCCTCCTTTGGACCAAGCTGCTTTGTGACATTCTTGCTGACTTCATGGTATATTAAATGTATTTATGTTAACCTCAAGGGGTCTCCTATTAAACATGTTTCAAAAATCTTACAACTGGTTGAAGCTGTACACTTGCCCTTTGAAGTTACACTTATACATTGCCCAGAACATGAAAAGTACAAGATCCCATCATCATGGGCAATAAAAGCGCTGACAGTGAGGCCAAAGAACCCGCCTCCTGACATGTAGTATGCCCAATTTTGTGGCTAGCCAACCCACAGCCCACTACCACAGCTGTGTAGTGCTGATCAGGAAGTACAACATGCCTGAGATCTGGAATGGACCCTAAATTTTGATGGCTGGTAAGTCATCCCCACAAGGTGTCTCTTTCTACACAGCCTGGAAAGAAATCATGGGCAAAAAAATAATAATAAAAAAAGAAATCATGTGCATCCAAGACATCTACCTGCCATTTTAAGCAGAAAAAGTCCCACCCTGGTTAAAAAGGCTTTCCAAGGAAAACAACTAGATACAATAATAAATCAGGTGGTCAAAGATTGAGAGATATGCTTAAAGAGAATCTCCCAAAATGCCCAACTACAACTACTGGCAGAAAAGTACCAGACTGCTTATCATGGAAAGGACTGGCAGCCTGATTTTACTCACATGCCAGGAAGCTGACACAGCCAGTTTCTTCTGGTCCTAGTTAACACATGCAGGGTACAGGCCTACCATACCAGGTCAGAAAAGGCAAGAGAGGTGATCAGAGTTCTCATCAATAAGATTATTACATGGCTTGGATTCTCTAGGAGCCTCCAAAGCAATAATGGCCCTGCCTTTCACTCAGGTTACTCGGGATATCTTCAAGGTTCATGGCATTGATTACAGATTGCACTGCACTTGAAGGGCACAATCAGAACAGGTACAATGAGCTAATAAAATACTCAAAAGGCTCTTGCTCAAACTGACAGGAATGTAAGACCTCTTGGAAACAGCTCTTACCTGTATCCCATAAATAGGCCAGAAATATGCCCAGGTTTCAGGGGCTGTCTCACTTTGAGCTCTTGTATGGGAGGCCTTTCCCCAGAAATGACATCTTAGATGAGAAAACTGAAGGAGCCTTAAGACAAGTGAGATCCTTAGGTCAGTTCTAACAAATCCTGACAGCTTTGAGGTGAACAGACCCCAGACCTAATTCACATAAGTGAGCTTCTCTTCTGCCCAGGAATCCTGGTACTAGTTAAGGCCCTAGACACATGAAACATGAGCAAATCCTAATGGAAGAGTCCCTACATGGTGATCTTTTCCAAGCCTACTGCAGTTAAGGTGATAGGACACCTTATCCCTCAGGGATTCTGCAGTCCATGCACTTATAATGTTTAGTTAGGGTATAGGTTTGTCTCCTTAATAAATCAACAAAAATGGATCGGCCTAAGAAAAGTGAATGCTTTTCTTCAAATAATCCCTTGATTAGCTGAAGCCAGTACAGCAACTTTTCAATGTTGTATACCAAATGTAGAGAGTACTTTGCAGTGTTTGGTATTGGTAAGTATGCCTGGTCATGTTTACTCTAATATTTTCATTTCCTTCACATTTTTCTTTACTTGTATAGAACAAAAAGCATATAGGGAAACTAACTGATCATGTGCATTGTTGGATTTCACACTGTTTGCCTAAATGAAAGAACATTTTTTTGATGTTTTGCGGGGGCAGGGGGGGGTTGTATTCCATTGCATAAGAGCAAAATGTGAAGTTACTGTATGCTGGAAAAAAGGGGTCTCTTAACATGTTCTTCCCTGGATGCTTCTCCTTCCTTGCTTCTCTCTACAATATGGCAGAATTAGTTAAGCCAGAGCATAAAGGGATCTTGTAAAATACAAAAGACTGGTAGAGCTGGACTGGAAGCAAAAGTTCTCTTAAACCCTAGCTCTAAGTTGTTTATCCAGAATACATTGTGAGAAGTAAACATGAGTGATGAACTGCATGTCCAAATCAAACAATGTCTTCCTGGCAAAGAAGCTGTCCGTGTATATGGAATGTCATACAGCAACATTTTTACAAGATTTATTTCCTATGTTTTTAACATTTCTTAAAAACCAGTTTTATGGGCTGGAAAAATAGCTCAGTGAAAGAGTGTTCTCGACATGCATACAAGACTTGGGTTTCTGTTCTACCACAAGAAGCAAAAACATCAGTTTCTCTGCCAGGTCAGTTCACTAAGTGAAGATCCTTTGACTTGTTGCTGAGAGTCAGGACAGCACTCAGGTTTTTGTAGACTTAACACTAAATTCCATGAAAATTCCTCTGAGGCTCAAAGCGTTAAGATATAGTATACAACTGCCTTGATAAAAATAGATTTTCTTATTTATATTACTGTCACTTATTTAGAAGGTCTAGAATTTTTTTCTTTCCATATCAGTTAGTGAACAAT